ATATATATATATATATATATATATATATATATATATAAATATCATAAAAAAAGAAAGAAACACATGAGACATTCAAATATATGTTTGCATAATCAAATGGAATGCTTGATGTTTTAGAATACAATTGAGGTTTTAATTTTCATTCAAAATTCCGCTAACTTAATCGGTGAGGGGAATTCAATCTGTTGATGTTTTTTGAAAAGTAAATGCATTAAAGCTGGTATTACTGCTGCATTAATTTTACATCACATTTTGCATATGCAGTCACAAGCAATGTTAATGCTTTAAGTAATAAGAAGGAATGCAACAGCAATTCCACTGATCTAGGTGATCAAAATAATAGTAACCATGGGATTTTTTTGATGAGGTAACGTTAGCATGGAAGTATCAAGGTGACTGTGGCATTCATTCAGTACCACATGAATGTTAAATTATCACCAAGACTGTTCATTTGTGCAAATTAAGTCAACCACGCATTAATTTATTATTATTATGCAATTAAATGACAATATGTTGATGTTACAGACATAATGTATTATAATTGCATTGGTGTAGATGTGTTCTCACCGGCTTTGAGCGCAGGCCTGCGGTTTAAACTGTTGTGCAGCATCGCGGTCGCCCAGCCGCACAGCCCGAACCACACTGAGTTTCTGTTGACGATCCCCGGAGGACGCAACACTTTGGCTTCGTCAGGCAGAAGCCCCATTTCGCCAAATAACAGGCTCTTCTAAAGACAGAACCCCTTTTGACGCTTAACTTTCCATATCACCTCCTAGATGAAATCAAGGGCAATGTTTAGGCGGAAATGTAAATCGGTCCGGTGAGAAACACATGGCGGATTTAAGTGTTCCGGGGAGATCATCTGGATCCAAATATGAAAATCTATGAACAAGCTTTTCTTATTTGCTGCAGGTCATTGGAAGACCCTCCTCTAATTGTAATCAAACCATACGGCGAATACATACATACATACTTACATATATATATATATATATATATTAA